TGAGTTGAATTGACATAAAGTTGATAAGTCACATCAACTAGCATCATGGAGACGTCAAATCAATTTAAACCTTAGGTACAGGAAGGATCTTAGAACAAATCTCTTTCTGAAATTGGCGGCGGATCTTCTAACAGGGGTCCATTTGGTCTCAAACTCGGGGGTGAGGTGTTTCAGTAAATCAGTAGTAGGAATCGCTATATCACTTCGGAAACACTTCGGACGGGTCTTTTATCAGGTCGGAATATGTGGTGCTGCGCATTCCGAGGCGTATAAGATCGGAGCGTAACACCTTCAACTAAAATAAAGTGGACACACGATAACCAAAATATAAAAACCGACATCCAAAAATTCCCAAGCTTTTTTACATAAATTTCATCGTTATCATTAATTCAATTCCAAAATCAAGTAGCATAACCAACTCAAAAATCAACTAAAATTTAAGAAACCAATCAAATAGCTAAAATAATCTTAGTTCCCCATTATATTCAACAAAGAAAAAATCTTCACATATATACTTACAGTTGAAGGCCTTCGAGAAATTTGTCAGGTTCCTATTATGTCCAGCTCTCTCTAGACTTGGTGTCAAGGACCGCAGCTTTACTTAGCCCCTTGACACTATCGCAGCCGCAGTTTGCCCAACTTCGGCCGCACATTGTAAATATTACTCATTGTAATAGTTATTTTAATTGTAAAATAGCTCTGATATTTGTAAAAAAATTAGTATGATTCATCGTCTTTTAAACGTCTACTCCCGTCACTTGGGTTTTTGTTCAGAATGCTATTATAGGGGGTATTAGTCATTCAAAAATCTTTCAAGAGCACTGGTGTCCGCCCCCTGCACCAGCATTTGTAATTTTCTGCTTTCATCAATTGTAATGTTCAGTTTTCAGCAATCAATGTTCAATTTACTTTCAATGTATTCAAATTCTCAATTGCAAGCTTTCTACAAAATTGCAATCAAATTTTCTATTGTCCCGACGCGACCGAAAAAAGGCGGAAGGTAGTCTAGCGGAGCAGACTACTGCCGCACGGTGTCCCTTTCTGTGCCAAGAAGAAAGGCACCCCGTGAAACGTGGTTGCGAAGGATCAAATCGCATTAGATGTTCCAATGCATGTTTTGACAAACACAAGCAGAGTCGCGACCCTAAGTTTATCTTTAGTAAGGCTTGATTGTTTACTTGTTTATCACATCAATCCGAAAACTATAGCTTTACTTTTAATATGTTTCAGAATACTATGTGGTATAGTGATGATTGCCTTAGTAACCATAGCTGTTTGCTCTCCAATATAACATAGGGCTCATGAGCAAGTTCTCTTCACAAATTTGCACATGAGAGTAACCCTTCTAACTGTTCATATAATACATGCTATATCACTTACAATCTTCAAAGAACAATTCTGGTGCAGATGATGCTTCTAATAGTAGATGCTGCTGTTTGCTTTCCAGTACAGTGCAGAAGCTGAGTGAACGCTCTCATGGCTTGTTTTTAAGTGAAGCCATTCACCTAAATTTTGATGTGTTACATGATTCTTTGAATTCATGTGGGTAATTGTCCAGAGTATATTTATTAAATAAGAAACAACAATACCACAATATCACCAAAATTAAGGGACGCGCAGCATTAACAGTCCAACCATCTCATTAAGAAAAAAGTAGCAGTAAAAGAAAAAGAACACAAAAATAGGTGCAAAGCACAAAATTTTGAGATTATACATACTCCTCGCCTTGGCTATGAAGAGCGACAGTAGGAAATACAGGACCCTTAACATCCTTGTAAACGGATCCCACTAAAACCCCATTTTTCCTGGTATTAACAAGGGGAAAATCATAAGAATACACAGAATTAAAAGAACAGGATGAAACAAATATACAGAAATTAATCTTTATCTCAATCCTCGAGGCACACAATTAAAATATGTATGAATAACAGACCGACTCTAAAGGCAAGGCTAAAGTGAATGATCATCTTACGTGAAAAAGAATTCTTGTGCAGCGTAGTTGATACCACCACCAACTGTATCACCGGTAGTGTACTTTGTATCACCAGTTGTGTTTGTTGGACCAAATGAGTCTCCCTTTCCAGGTCCATGATAAAGCAGCCCATCATCACCACGATATCCATAACTGTTTGGTTCCCAACTGTTGGACAGAGAGGAATCGATAAGGACTTCAAAATACAATAACAAATGTCAAAGATTGTAGTGCTGCTAACTGTCGAGCTACTCTTTGATATTGAATTTTCAATTTTTAAGTGGGATCCATTTTGTAAGATATTTAATCTATCTCATTCTTTACCTTGATAGGAATCTCCCATTCAACACTTTATTTGTTATAGTTCATCAATTTTTTCTAGAAGAATTTACAACTTAGAAAGAATTTCTATCTAGTGCTCAATCCACTGCAGGCAGGAAAAGTTTCTTATTAGGATTACTTGCACTAACAAAAATAAAGACCAAGTCACACAGCACATTCTAGAGATTGAACACAACATAAAATCAATCACTATTCCCACAGGCCACAAGATACATCTTGTGCTTCCCGTCTTCACCTTTCTTATTAATAGAGAGGTCACTTAAACATTCTCACCTTAAGCGAGGCTAGACAAGACCTGACATTTCTGGTCTTAAATCTCCTTAGCCTCCAAAAAGGCCAAAACTGCCCTTTGATGTCCTCATTATGAATTACTTATGATACCTTAAAAATCAAACCATATAAGATAACATAAAGAGAGCGAGGGAGAGAAATGCAAGATCGTTCGATGAGAGATCATAATAGATACTCTCCTGAAGACTTAACAAGATTGAACACTTGTTTTAGGAAGAGAATCTACGATTTATTTTGAGAGATTTGCTAATATTTGATTTATTTCCTGTGGTAAGTTCTGTAGATGTCCTTATATAGTAGAATTTTCAACTGTAAGAATAGATTTTCCATTGAAAAAACAAGCTTGGTTGTTTAATAAACTAATATTCTCTATAATCTCCTCCCTCTCTCACTTCTATCTCTGTCTACCTGTTCTGTTTCTCTTTCTGCTCCCCCTCTTCCTCTTCTCCTCCTCCTCCTCCATTCTGCTTTTTCTCTTTTCCCAACTTCCTCTCATCCCTCCTTATCTCCTGCTTTTCCCCTTCTTCTTCTTCTGCATTTAAAGCATGTCCTGTGCGTACTGCATCATCTCCATTCTCCACTTTATAAAGAGTCAATCCATTTTAAAAATGGCACTCAAAAAATTAAAATACATAACTAGATTGTTACATCTTCTTTTGATAGATCAACAAGCCATTTAAAGTCTGAACCAGTCTCTACACATCCAAAAATAAACATAAAAAACCAACTACCAGGATAACACTGATAATTTTGAAATTAGAAACACTCAGATGACAAACCTACCAAAGCAATATACAACTGTAGAAGCCTGAAGACAAAAACACTAATTCCATACCTGAAAAATCCAATACTTGTACCTTCACTGTCACTAGAGTACGAAAAACCAATTGCTGAAGTTCATGAAGTACTAATCATCCCCAAACACACATATACACTTAAAAATTCATGCTGACAGACATGAAAATTAAAAAATTTAACGATAAAGATTGTGCACGAAATCCTTGTATATATATACAAATGCTCCGCTACATAGCAAGGTACAATATTTTCGAGCACAGAGAACTATCATTTTTCTTGGCCTCTCATAAACCATCACTCAAACCAAATTCCCACAACCAAGTGTTCAATAAGCCCCCCAATCAATACATTTACACGCGTGTGAAAAAGAAACAAAGAAATACAAAAAAGACCGATATAAAAAACAAAAACACCAAGAATGAAATACAGTGCGGGGTGGATAAATACCCAGGATGGCGTCGGACTTTGAAGTCAGAAGTGACGAATCCAATGGAGTTCTGGCCCTTGGCTCCGGCGTTCTTCACGTACATTTCGAAGTAGTAAAGCAGCTGCTTCGACGGAGCGGTACGGTTAGCATGAACCACTCCAACATCATGATCGTGCAAATTCGCATTCGGGTACAACACCGACAGTTTATCAGGGCCCACCACGGAGAACCAGCCCGAACTGTTCACCGTGTCGAGCTCCGTCGGACACTCTTCTCTGTCGTCTTCATCTTCCGTGTCGGGTCGCCCAGAATCCGATTCGTTAAAGGGTGTTAGGGTTAGGGTTTTAGAATTATGGCGCCATTGCTGGAGGTAGTAAGAACTAATGAACTCGTTCGCGAATTGATTTTGATCCATTATTCTAAAATTGTTCAGCGATTTCAAATCAAGATCTCGTAAAGGGGAAACGTGAATTTTTGAGGAAAATCTCAGAATTGGAGATTGAGAAAAAAATTATATGGAAACTTTTCAGCAGAGATTTCTTGAGAAGGAAGGGAAGGAAGAAACCAATATGTACAGTTGCTCGAAGATTTCTATCTTCATTGGTATCTAGTTGCACCAAATTTTAAACCATTTTACACCTAATTTTAGGTCAAAACAAAAGTTGACACCAATTAAATCATGTTTAACCATTTTCTTCTATGTTTTATTATTTATAATTTATTTAATTATTTTATAAATATATAAATTATTAAATAAATACTTACGTTAAGATTAAATTCATTAATAAATATAAAAAATATAGTACAATTAATAAAAACAATACAACAACGAAAATATTAAATCGTACCATCAAAAGATAGTACAATGCATTTCGAATTTGGATATTACGATATTACGAAGTCACAAAACTTTTGCAATTTAATTCTCAGAATTTATATGGTTGATTTGGTTTGTTTGGAAATTATTTAGATCTGAAAGTTCATTTGATTTGTTTGAAAATTATTTTGATGATATTGGAGGATCTGAAAGCGATTTTCTAGATTATTAAACTATGCACTTTTTATCTATCGTTTTCTTTAAATAAAATTAGATTATCATATGTATGTCGTTGTTTAATATATTTCGTAATTTTAATAAATAATCGTGTTTTTTATATTTTAAATTTTTTTCTTCTTTGAATTAATTCATTAATTATTATTTCTTACATTTAAAATTTATTTTAAATTTAAATAATAATAATAATAATAATAATAATAATAATAATTGTATTAAAGAATATATAGCACAAATGGCACAATTACTCTTCATAAATTTATTTGGAAAAGAAAAAAAAGGGCAAAAAAGAATTTGACCACTTTGCACCATTTTGGTGCAAAATGGTACAAAGTATAGTGTTCCATTGGAACCACTTTGCACCAAAAAATGGTGCATTCTGGTGATTTGGGATTCATACTGGATATGTCCTAAAATTGCTCTCGTGACTTTAGGTGAAATCATTTTTAGAGAACCAAAGTAATTTGCCCACATTTGGATCCCACTTCGACTCTGCTTCAGAATCTTATTTTTAAATCTATTTAAGAAAAATATAAAGTTAATAGCTTATGAGAATCTTCTTTTTTATCTCTACCCTACTTCCATCATTTCCCTTCTCTGCATGGGATGGAGATAGGGAAGGCCGTTCAAAAGTAGCATCATTGTCATCGCTATTGTTTTATACCCAAGTACCATAGCGTTTAAAAAAGAATGAAAAAGAAAAGCCAAATTGTTTACGGATTTTGATAGAATCTTTGGCATAAAAATATTTTGTCATTGTATTTTTTACCATATTGACAAGGTGATATACACAACTTGTTGGAAAAAAAGAGTGTTTTATGTATAGATATTTATCAATTAACACAATCAATTAGATAACATAAACATAATTCAACAATAATATAAACTAAAAAAAGAAGAGTTAGAAATGCAAACTTTAGGAAGTCATGTCAAAAAAGTTATCCTAAAATCGTGTTGCTTCCCTTCGTGTGGGTACTTTCAGCACTACACGACTCCAAGATAAAACCTATGTGACTCACAACCGATTCTCCTTCTATGAATACGACCATGGGGAGATAAAAAACGAGTTTTTATCGAGTTACCAAGAGTATAAAAATATATTATGAAAATGTAGAAAATATAATCCTTCAACTTATCTTTTTCTAGTTCTATCTTTTAATGAAATATCACCTCCTTTTATAGGTAAGTATCAACTCCCACAATTACACCTATATATATGAATATAGGTATCTTTTGGATTTGAACCTCACTTAGTAATAACAATTTTCATTTGAGGGAACCATAATGAATGTAGCCCTGAATTAGATCTCTTTGGCCACACTTCAATCGCTCCACACGCATTATTGATTTAGGCTTTAGTTTTAACGGACATGTGCTCTTATTTTGATTTTAGTAAGGGTCTTTATGGAATAGCCCAATTCCATAGCCACGGCCTTTGGACTCTTACATAGGTGAGTCATCTAAGAGTGTGTGTAACCCACATCTTGCGAGAATCCTTGCCTCGATACTCATTTAGGTTTAAAGACTTCCTAACATCACATTTATTAGCATTATATCACTATAACGATGAGCACAAATAAAATAGTGCTATTATAGGCCACGCAGTGCAAATTATTTCTACCACATTGTACCTTCTTTATTAGATCTCCAATCACAAAGATTGGATTACTTCCAAAGGTGACTCCCTTAGGGTCTAAACCCATCCCTCTCGATAATTTATTATGTTCATTATGGACAATAATTTATTATATACCCCTCNTTTTAGTAAGGGTCTTTATGGAATAGCCCAATTCCATAGCCACGGCCTTTGGACTCTTACATAGGTGAGTCATCTAAGAGTGTATGTAACCCACATCTTGCGAGAATCCTTGCCTCGATACTCATTTAGGTTTAAAGACTTCCTAACATCACATTTATTAGCATTATATCACTATAACGATGGGCACAAATAAAATAGTGCTATTATAGGCCACGCAGTGCAAATTATTTCTACCACATTGTACCTTCTTTATTAGATCTCCAATCACAAAGATTGGATTACTTCCAGAGGTGACTCCCTTAGGGTCTAAACCCATCCCTCTCGATAATTTATTATGTTCATTATGGACAATAATTTATTATATACCCCTCTTTGACGATAATTTGTAACCATCAATTTGCAGAGCACTTATTCTTCACCTGCACCTCTACACATTTGCAAAATCTTTTAAGAAATTTTCAAATTATAATCAGATTATTACATGAAATTTTTAAGATTGGCTTTAGTAACACATTTTAGCATATGCATCCATTAAACTCTCGCATTTCACCTACAAATCTACAAATTAACTTATAACATATTTCAAGAATTAGTTTACAAAAATTATAACATATAAGATGTTTTTATTTGAAATTTTAAACACTCCCATGTTTCAAAGATATTCAGCTTGTGGATCTTAAATTTCATGGCCATAGTTTTTCCATCATGTCATTTGTATGAATATGATCTAAACATAGGAAACACATGCACTTTTTCCTGCCAAAATGTCCTACATGGTCACGCACTAGCAAAAAATTGTTGCCAATCTTCTAACTTCTTCAGGATATGCTGGAATTTTGGGTTGTGCTAACAAATTTTCTTAAGTACACACTATTACTAGCAAAATGATTACTTTTGGGATTCACATGTAATTGTATAGAAAATTGGTTAACTATATAATATGACCCATTGTTCAGATGACGACCAAATTTGAGTATATATAAATAATAATAAAGTCAATTTGATAACCCCTATATTTAAGCCATCTATAATGTGCTTTATTAAAATCCATCAATTGTTATGTTTCCTCTTTTGACAGGATTAAACATGATGCATATTTTTATTAATCCCACAATTTCCTCATTTTTATTCCATAACAGTAATTAATAAATACAAAAATAAGTGGTTTATAAGGCTAATATATCTCTTCCATGTCTATAGAATGGACCAAATTATTGATTATATAAACAATACCTACCGAAGTAGTTATCCAATTCCACATAGAAATATATACACTTTGTTGATTATAAAGATAAATCATCGTCATATAAATTAGATAAAAACATATAAAGTCGTATTTAGCAATATTTAATAACATTATAATTAAAATAAAATCTAATGATATTACAAGATAAAAATCACCAAAATTAAACCAAAGAACTTAAGCTAAGAAACATACAAAGCTTGGTAATCGAGCATACATCTTATTTCAAATAAGATAAAAAAAAAATGTCATAAATCAAATTCATATTCTGCCTCATAAGATTTAAGAGCTTGCACTATATCTTGGGAGGAAAAAGAAACATGCCATACAGAGAATTCCGTTAATAAACTTTAAAGACTTAATTGACAATAAAAAAATTAGGTCCCTTTTATTAAACATAAAAAAATAATAATGAAATTTCATGTCCCTTTTGTAGTGTAAAAGTTCAACCTCCACCATATTGAAAATTAATTCATTAACAAGAGGTTACATCTAATATATAAATATTTTAATTTTATATTAAATTTGAAATTGAAAATAAACCTGAAAATTAAAAAAGTATTAATTTTGAAATTTAAAACTTATTAATATATATGTTACAACAATATCTTCATCAATTCTAGTTATTCTTAAGCAAAATTTATGGCATATAGTTCACTAAATGGCCTGCTCATAAACTACAATAACTTTGTTTGACTACTTACTCATTTCTTATTGATTCAAGACCACAAATAATAGAAATTTATGCAAATTGCAGAAAATATAAAGGTCCTGATTATTTTCCTCAAATTCACCGAAAGATTCAATTTATAGTAAGACATACTTGGACAGAATTCAATGTATCATTGTTTATGTTATTTCTGACATTTAATCTCAATTTCGGATAAAGTCTAAACAATTTTAGAATATGAATGCATGCATTACAGCAGATATAGCACAGAATCCTAAAGTCTAGTGTTAATCTCACGAAGTTAATACTGTAATTCAAAAAGAAGGAAAGATACCGACTAGTATTTGGACACAAAATACCAACAAATAGCCAAAAAAATCACAAGTTTGTAGAAATCCTCATTAGGACATGTTTCTCTAGAAATACCACAACAATACTAATTATATATCTTTATTGAGCTTCTAGCTGGTGTAAATTTGCACGTTGAAGTGAGATTGAAAAACTGCTATTAAATTCAACACTTGGACAATTCATGCACTTTGAAAATTATACACTAACTTCTATGCACAAACCACGCAAACACGACTTTAGATTGTTGGAAAAAATGGGTGATTTGTGTGTAGATGTTTATCAATTTATTATAATCAATTGAGTAATATAAACATAATTCAACATTAATATGAACATAAGAGCGAAGAGTTAGAAATGCAAACATTAGGGAGTTGCGTCAAGGATGCTGTCCTAAAGTCGCGTTGTCTTCCCTTCGTACGAGTATTTTTCGGCACTACATGATTTCAAAATAAAATCCATGTGGTTCACAATCAATTCTCCTTCTATGGACAAGACCATAGAAGATAAAGAATGAGCGAAAAAATAAAAAATATAGTATGAAAATGTAGAGAATATAATCTTTTAAATTGTCTTTTCCTAGTTCTATTTTTCAATGAAATATAACCTCATTTTGTAGGTAAATATCAACCCCCACAATTAAACCATTAAAATATAAGTTACCATATGAATTATGATGTTTTTAATTTGTGTTAAAACTGAAAATTAAATAAAAAATAGAAAATTAAATGTTTTTAAATTGAAAGATTAAAACTTTATTTTATGTCACAACACAACTATATCTTAATTTTGAACGTTCGCATTTGTCTAAACTTTGTGCTTTCAAAGTAAAAAACGGTAACCTAGAATCTGTTTGAATAATTGGTAATGTCTCTTCCTGGCGGCCAACAAGGTTGTATGTACTATGGGAGAAATACTAGCTCCCACTTGACGGATAGACCATTAATAGCTTGGAGCCAAATATATTCTTTTTGAGGCCTTGAATTATTAATTCCAAAAGGGTGTTGATATGTTTCATTTACATAACAATAAAAAATAAAAAATTTAGCCTCCATGGAGAAACTCTGCTTCTTAATTGCTGTTCTAGTGTTATCAGTGAACTGCTTTGCTCTTTACTCAACCACAGATGAAGATTCACTTCTTGCCTTCAAAACCCGAATCACTTCAAACCCTTATGGCATCTTGGCAGATAACTGGTCGACTACTACCTCAAATTGCAACTGGATTGGTGTTTCTTGCAGCAGGAATCGACAAAGAGTAGTAGCTTTAAATTTTTCCGGGTTCGACTTCACAGGCACCATTGCTCCACATCTTGGAAATTTAACGTTTCTGGCTTCTTTAGACATCAGTTTCAACAATTTTACAGGGATAATACCCCCCGAGCTTTCCAACTTGCGTCGTTTAGAAGAGATAAACATGGGATTTAACAGCTTCATTGGAGAGGTACCTTCATGGTTCGGAATCTTACCCGAACTTCAGCAGATTTGTCTGAATAACAATAGTTTCACAGGCAGCATCCCTCCATCTTTATGCAGCAATTCAAAGCTACAAACTCTGCAAATGAGAAACAATTTTATAAATGGAAAGATTCCACAAGAGATTGCCAATCTTTCTGCCCTGGAAATATTAGGTTTAAGGTTTAACCAGCTTACAGGATCCATACCTTTCGGTATCCTCAACATGTCTTATCTGAAGGTACTGGATCTCTCGATTAATAGCCTGTCAGGAAGTCTCCCGGAGAACACATGCGATAGTATCCCGAAATTGACCGGACTCCATCTCTCAAAGAATCTTCTCTAAGGGAAAATTCCGTCAAATATACACAAGTGCAGGTACCTCGAGGACCTATCTTTATCCCATAATCATTTCAATGGAAGAATACGAAGTGCAATTGGCAGCTTGACCATGCTGAGGAGTTTATTTCTGGGGATAAACAACTTGGAAGGTATAATTACAATCCTATCTAAAAGTTTAAATTGTTAGAGAAGGGATAAATTTGTTTAACAAATATATCCTAAAATGCTAAATTAAACTGCCTCATTATGTGAGTGTGTACTTGGAGTAAAAATATTGCTTATCAATCATAGAATATATTGCAAAGACCCCCTGATAGTGCTTTTAGATACAGAAGCCAGAATATAGGTTCATGAAACGGAAATCTATATTCTTGATATGTGAAGAGTAATTTGTTGTTGTGAAAAGAATTTTAGGTAATCTTTGTTATATCTCTGTCCTGTTTAGAACACTCTAACTTCTAATCAAATAGAATTCATAAAAGACTTTCTATATAAACATAAATGCAAGTACATGAATTAGAGTTATTATATGAACCTAATCTGATTTAAAAAATGAACTTGTGTTGTAAAACAATCTACAAGCAGATAGCTTCACAATGAAAATTTTTCTTGCCTATGACTATTTTTCAGGAGGAATTCCAATGGAAATTGGTAATCTTTCACGTCTAGAATTATTGAACATACCAGGTGGCTCTCTAACGGGGCCAATGCCATCTTCTATCTTCAACATATCTTCTCTGAAAGCAATTGACTTTAGTAACAACAGCCTGTCTGGAAGCCCCTCAGTTCCCATTTATCATAAGCTTCCAGAGCTGGAGCAGCTTTATCTACGTTCCAATCAGCTAACTGGCCTAATTCTTCTGAACATTTTGGATTTTAAAAGGCTATGGGTCATATCCTTGTCAGATAACAAACTTACGGGTGGTCTACCTGCAAAAGTTGGAAACCTCACTAGGCTGAAGTATCTATTTCTAGATAATAACAGATTGACAGGTATGTTCGATTGCTTTCACATCCTTTACTTTGAATGTTGATAATATTAAATTGTTTTCTGAAGTTTCCATTTCACTCACGAGAAAAGAAACTTGGAAACTTGTCTTTCAGATCTCAGTCGTAAACAAAGCCACAGGACATCGTGAACCTAAATCCCAAATTTCTTCTTATTAATTCTGAAATGCAGTTCAGCTAGCAGATGTATTTTATTCATGATACAGGCTGTAGAAGGGCTGTTTTTGAAACCCCTCCCATCTTTCTGTTAGCACAATTACACTAGTTTACTAGCATGTTTCTTACATGAATTTTCTAAAGGAACACGCCAACATAGCCTCAGTGGATTTTTAGGATCACTGGGGAAGGCTGATGTGGTTCGGATTCCCCAACCGTATTGCACATCAAATTTAAGTTAAGAGTTCCTTTTGTCAACTACATTATTGTGCTTCCATGATTTAGGCCGTCTAATGAGAGAATGAGATTTAATACTTACAAAACTTACAATACTTACAATAACAGCTAGGACACATGGTATTTTAAATTCACCATTTGATTTAGTCATTTAATACTTACAATAACAGCTAGGACACATAGTATTTTAAATTCACCATTTGACTTAGTTGGAGTAGCATATAAAGAACTGTATTTTTCTTGACTTGTTCACATTGTTTTTAAGTTAGAGTCTGTTGGATTTTTGATACCCAATAAATCTCAGACTATGATGTTAACGTGGGTTAATATATTTCATAAGCATAAGCCAATGAATGAAATAAGTCCAACAACCAAGTCCATAAGCTCCACCCGGTCAAATTGTATTCCCTCTTGGATGACTTAAATCTTGACCCGTTTACCTCTTTTTTGGTCCAATAACTCTAGCATACTTATAAGGAATAAAACCTTGCCACTTTCTAGTATGATTAGTGTGGTTTGTGTGTGAGAAAAGGGGAATCCTGGCTGCCCCTTGAAGTGTGTGAAAAATGGCCTCTAGAAGTGTCCAAAACACTTGTTTACTTTGTGTAATTGGTGGTTTCTTCATAGGCTATCTTTGTGCTGTTTTCTCCTTGCCTTTGTGGTCACAAATTATTACTGTTTCTTGTCCTTCGTGGGTAAAATTGAATAACAACCAAGGTAAATTATATTGATTGTGGATCGGAATGGGTTGGATTGGTAATTTGGTAGAGAAAGGTACGTTGGATTGAGTCAAGAAAACATCCATTTGAAAATCCTTGGAGAGAGTTTTCACAACATTTGGTATCATAGTTTCAAGATGGTGGTTTTGGCTCATGAAATATACCAGAAAATGACCTGGAAAACAGCAAAAACATAGCAAATATCAGATCGAAGAAGTTGTCTAGAAAACTATGCAAAATTCAAACTTGTTTGTGCAATTTTCGGATAATCCAGGGGGATTTTTGTGAAACGGAGACCATTGGTGTAACATACAGGTAGTGGCGGTTCAAGAGGTCTGGCACGTGAAGCCCACGCACCGGGGCTTGTGGTGGCACGTGAGAGCACGTGAGCAGAAATTTCGAGGCAGTCTTTTCAGGCAGTTTGTTCCTCACATTATTTCTGACATTTTGGTATTGTTAGTTTTTTTGTTTCAGGTTGTGCAGTAGAGTCTGGACANGTGTTCTCGAGGTGTGAGCAACACAAAATGGGATGGGATAAGTGTGGTGAGATATTTTAGTGGGTCATTTATGCATTTGTTGCTTATGTGGTTGATCGTGTGTTTGATTAACTTGGTGTTAAGTTGTGGTTCTGTGTGAACGTGCTTCTGAAAAGATCTATATATGTTATCCTATAATATATCATCATCGCATATGTATTTGCTTTTGATTGTTTACTGTTGAATATTTGTTTCTACTTGAGTGTTCTTGACCTTAGTCCCAGCGAGTACATGGAGCAGGTATGGTATGTGTTTCAGATTGGAAATATAAGGTAAGGTTTGTGATCCAATTTTATTGACTACCTTAATTATGCAAGTCGTAACTATAGGTTTTGATTGCCACGGGGAAGCGGTTAGGTAAATGTGGTAGACCGACTTGTTTAATAGAAAGACTTTAGAATATCCCTACTATCTACTACCTTCTCCTCCACTGAAAATCACTCTTATTGGGCATCAATGTAGAGATTTGTTGGGTTCTTGGTACCCAATAAATCCGTGAGTGTGATGTTAACGTGGATTAATATATTTCATAGGCATAGGCCGATGAATGAAATAAGTCCAACAACTAAGTCCATGAGCTCCACCCGGTCCAATTGTATTCCCTCTTGGATGGCTTAAAACTTGGCCCGTTTACCTCTTTCTTGGTCCAATTAAAAAGCCTAACCCTAGCATACTTATAAGGAATAAAACCTAGCCACTTTCTAGTATGATTAGTGTGGATTGTGTTTGAGAAAAGGAGAATCCCGGCTGTCCCTTGAAGTGTGTGAAAAATGGCCCCTAGAAGTGTCCAAAACGCTTGTTTACTTTGTGTAATTGGTAGCTCTTCATAGGCTACCTTTGTGGTGTTTTCTCCTTGCCTTTGTGGCTACAAATCATCACCGTTTCTTGTCTTTCGTGGGTGAGATTGAATAGCAATTGAGGTGAATTATATTGGTTGTGGATCGGAGCCGGTTGGATTGGTTGTTTGGTAGAGTAAGGTACGTTGGACTGAGCCTGAAAAGCACCGATTTGAAGATCCTTGGAGAGAGCTTTCACAGTAGAGTCCTTTCATCAACAACATTATTTTGGTTCGGTGATTTAGGCAGTCTAATGAGTGATGAGTTTGAGTCATTTAATACCTACAATATCCGCTAGGACAAATAATATTTAAGTTCACTATTACTTTGACTTAGCTGGAGTAGGACATGTATTAGTAACATGAATAGAGACTTCTTTTAATCTAATTATTAAACCATAGAGAAGGTAAGCATGAAAAAACTTGAGAAGAAGGATTCTATTATAAGACAAATTCCAAGTGGAGAAAAAAATTGTGACAGAGGGAAAAAGAGCTAGTAAATTGCTTAATATAACTCAAAAGATTTCTGTTATCAATTTCATATGAATTTTTGTACATCAAAGAAATAGTTTAGGGCACAAGTTAGATGGACTAAAAGTCATTATATGGTGGCAGGTGAATTACCAGATGAGCTTGGAAATCTTAACCTTGAAAAAGTTAATGTCCACAACAACAGCTTATTTGGCACCATCCCCGTTTCCATGTTCAATATATGAACAGTAAAGATGATGAACTTTCAACCAATCAGTTTTCGGGCCATCTTTCTTCAACCATTGGGCTCTCACTTCCGAATCTTGAAGAGCTTTATTTGGGTGACAACAGACTCACTGGAGTAATTCCAAGCATTATCACCAATGCTCCTAAGCTTACCATCTTATACATGGCCATCAACTCTTTGACTGGCACAATTTCAAACTTTGGCAATCTAAGACTTCTACGGTCCTTTTAATTGCAGTAAATAATTTGACTGGAGAATCTTCGAGTCTGGAGTTGGGATTTTTCTCTTCATTAACAAATTTCTGATATTTGGATTTTATTGAAGTATCTTTGAAACAGCTAAACGGTATTCTCCCAGCATCAATTGGAAATTTATCCACTTCCCTTCAAGTATTCAGAGCATTTGGATGCCACATTATGGGTGCTATTTTTGTTGAGATTGGAACCTTAAGCAGCTTGGCAGACTTGTATTTAGATAACAATCAGTTGATGGGATTCATCCCAAGATCACTAGGAAAATTAAGACGTCTTCAACGTAGATATCTTGAACACAATAAACTTGATGGGTACATCCCCGCTGAGCTTTGCCATTTAAGCAATTTAGGTGACATGTATCTAAGTGACAATATGCTTCATGGGTCAATCCCCTCGTGTTTGGCCGAACTTAAATCTTTCAGAAGACTCTACTTAGACTCCAACAAATTGGAGTCTACTGTACTTTTGAACTTGTGGAACCTTAATGATCTCCTGGAATTAAACTTGTCCTCGAACAGTTTAAGAGGCTCCCTACCTTCGGAAATAAAAAATTTGAAGGTTGTCGACAAACTAGACTTAGAATAATTCTCAAGTGATATCCCAAGTTCTATTGATGGCATGCAATCATTGGTTTTCACTATCTTTCGCACATAATAAATTTCAAGGATCTATTCCTGAGTCTGTAAGAAATATAAGGAGCTTGGAATTCTTGGATCTGTCTTATAATAATTTTTCTGGATTGATTCCGAAGTCATCAGAGACACTCAACTCTCTAGAATATTTTGATGTGTCTCACAACAAACTAGAGGGAGAGATTCCTGTTAGGGGGCGTTTTGCGAACTTCACTGCTCAATCATATGTGTAGAACTATGCTCTCTGTAGTGAAACTCGAAAGATCAAAGCGAAAGAATGTGGGGAAAAAACTTGAAAGATCAAAGCCAAAGAACGTGGTGACATTAATGAAATATATTCTCACCCCAGTCATAGCAATTATTATTGCAATGACCATAACCCTTTTGATTGTAAGAAGACGAAATCATCCAGAACACTATCGACGAGCGAAAATTCATTAGGTCTTTCGTGGAGAAGAATTTCTTATCAAGAACTTCAATAAGAAACAAATTCCTTTAGCGAAACTAACATACTTGGAAGTGGAAGTTTTGGTTCAGCTTATAAGCAAACACTTTCTTGTGGA